GGGGGGTAACATGTGAAAGTGTAGTGTGATCGTCCGGGTCATTGTAGTCCTGAGAAGGACTGTTGTCGGTTGTAGCGACTGACGTTTCGACAACCTGTGCGGAAGTCATCATCAGAGTCAAGTGAATAGTTGTTGTCTGTAGAATGTTCTTATTTCAGCCAGTTTTGCCGTGATGTTATTGGCTGTAAGACTCAACCAATCACGACCGATTGGCTGAAGTGGCGTAAGTCAACAGTCTTTCTCAGGACTACACTGACCCGGACGATCACACTACACTTTTACCTAGAGATCGTTCGTGGAAAGCTTCCTATCCGAGTTACAGGGCGTCTCTAGAGATGACACCCTCGTCGCTTACTTGTTGGTAAATGGAATGCTATCATTATTTAGATTTCTACCATAAAACAGTCGTACGATTAATTTCTTTTGCTCCTTTAGCTGATGGTTAACTTATTATTAGGTTTAATCACGGTTTTTCGGACGCGTCTCAACTGTTATTTCTTTCGTATTTTTTTCCTCTTGTAAAACTCCTAACTTATGACTGATAGGTTTGATGTAGTTTTAAAAATTAGTCGAAACTATGCCATAGCATTTCAATTTTCCCAAAGTATGAAAACCTTTTTCTTCTCTTGGGTCTCCTGTGTCACCAAACCGGAGCTGTGTAACGGGCAAAGTGGACTTGTCAGTCAGAAGTCCACTGTCCTCTCTCCACGTCAAATCATTGGCATCGCAGTTACATGCTTCACCCGTGGCGCACGAGTCGTTTATTCCACATGCGCACATGTTGCTGTCGGGAGAAGCTCCTCCCCAATACATCATTTTCTGTCCATCACGTGACACCCACCAGCCGTAAGGTGATCCCTTCCAGAGAAGTACAGAATGGCGGCATTCATATTTTATATACTGTTCGCAATGAGTGGATGCCTGAATGAGGTTTTTGATCTGAATCATAGTTACCCCCAGGTAAGTCACATCTTTAAAATAGCTCCCAGGATAAAAGAAGCCCTCCACAGCAGTTCTCTTCTCTGAGTCGTGACTGACCACTGATACCCCAACACCACCCTTCTCAGTCATGTTGCAAAACACTTTGAACATCGGCGAATCCTCATCCGCTTTTACATTAAAAATACCACTGCGATTATAACCTGCAAGTCGCCACTCACTGCATGATCGCACCTGGACTGTCAAGGCAGAAGTTACATTTATGACTGCAATTTCGCTTTCTGCTGCACAGCTATACCATCCACCATCGAGAATAGATGTTACATTTATAATTAGAGTTCCGTTGCGCAAAATCTCGAATGCTGTTGGCATTGCGTCACCTTCCTTGGTCCATTGCACTGGTTCCATGCTTGCTTGGCAATGCAGTAACACCCTACTGCCGAGATATATATTCATCTGCTCGACTGGTCGAACAAGAAATTTCAGTTTAGGAAGAACGGACAGCTGTACAGATGCTTTAACTTCATTAACGTCATTTTTGGCTGTGCACGAGTAGGTGTCACTATCTTTTAAGGTGGCGTTGTAGATTGTGAGCTGTCCCTTAGAAGACCCTGATCCATTTGTAAGTATGCGACCTCTCTCGGATAGCGCCGTCCAAGTAATCACAGGCTCAGGAAATCCGGAGGCTTTGCATGTAAACACAGCACTCTGTCCTTCTTCGATCTGGAGGGGACGAGGCGTCCTGGTCAGTTGAACGGGAACTGGACAAAAAAAATTTAAATTATGCGAAGCAGGTTTACCAATTCCTCCTCCAAAATTTTTAAATACTTCTCCTTTTCAAGTTTATCTGTCCTCGTCTCCTGCTAGCTCAGATTAACTCTTCATCGTGTAATACATAACAGAAACAGAATGTAAACATATACAAATGCTTTTAATTCCTTTCGTGTGAGACAAGATATATCAGTAATGCGTGAATTATAATCCAGCTGGAATCGAGTTTACTGAACCGCGTTGGCTTAGTTGTGACTTATGGAACCTAATCATAGTCTATGTGATTTTCTCTAGTTGTTCCCATAGTCGAGAACATTTAAACAACTTACCGTGAACAATCAGCAGCATGGTCGATTTGGTGATCCCTAGAACATTTTTGGCTTGACACACGTACATTCCAGCGTCATTATATAGCACTCCACTTATCACCATCGTACCATTACTGTGAATCACGTGACGACCACTGGGTAGAGATCCGTAGACTCGAACCCAGGTTGTTTGTGGTAAAGGAAGTCCTTCAGCTTTGCATGGCAGTGAGGCTGTTTGTGTCTCTTTGATGGTTATCACTTTTGGTGGTGTAATGATAGTAGGAGCAGCAACTGAAATACCAGGGTCACCTTAAAAAAACAATTGTGGAACAATTGGTGTTGCCTAAACGTTGAGCTGCTTTCGTTAACCAGCGAGGTCGAGATATATCTTGCTTTTTTCCTTCCCTCTAACTCGGCTACATCTTGGAATCGTGCGTCCTCAATTACAGCCCTATAGCTGCAGAAACTGACTGAATCAGACCTTAGATTCGCTTGATGGTTTTAAGGCAGCTGTAAGGTGTTCATTAATATTTTATCATTCATTGATATTATCATTATTGTTATATTCTACTCACGGATGAAACTTAAACGCAGTCTCATAGGAGTTATTCTTTACCTAAGGTGTTATATATTGAGATAAATGAACTGACCTTTTTCTCCTTTCTGTCCAGTTCCAGTTACTCCAGCAGCTCCTTTCTCCCCGCGAACTCCAGGACTTCCTTCAATTCCCACGTCACCTTTATCACCTTTAGGGCCTCCGAAACAAAGCTTTTCTTCTTTTGCGCAGAAGACTTTGGTCAGTGTACTCAGCATCATGCGAACCTCGTTTTTTACCTCCCCTTTTATTTCCATTTTCATTTTTCGGTTGATACCTTTCTTGCCTTTCTGGCGTGACTTGGATTCCTTACCCAGCCCAAGGTCTCTGGAGAACCTTCTTTGGTCATAATTTTGTCTATTTTCTTGTATGTTAAGGTGGTCTGAAAAGAATCATGTATGATGAGTAAATACCGATCCGAAGCTTAGAATGCTGTCAAACTGAATTGTGTGAAACTTTCGAACAATTTGTAATCTCACCTTTTGAGGTTTGCATTCGAAAGGCCGCGCGGAGACTTACACCGGGAGGATGTTCGTCTGCACTCTTATTGATCAGTCCTAAGCCCAGATTTCAAAAATTGTGTTTTAATTTGATTTTTTTTTTCATGAAATATCTTGCGTAGAATTTTCCGCACAGCTCCACACTTTATTATGCATCCAGGTCTTGGATAGAAAAAACCAATTGCGAAAGCAGTAGATTGCTCTTGCAACTACGGTTTTGTTTGAGAATAATATGGGGCAGCTGGGTGGAAATCTTACCCAGCCCTCCATTCTAACAACGTCATAAATCATTAATGGACAAAACAATCGAAAGACCCGGCTGACTTTGACGTATTTTGCCTTTGACACACTGTAAAATGACCCGAACAGGAAACGGATTGAAACGATGCCAAGCTTTTTTAGAAATTTTTGTTTCTCATTTTCCGTGTCAGTACGTATCGAAAGTATTGTTTGAAAAACAAATTAAGGGGGCAATGCATAACTCACCTCCGAGTGAGGGCTTTTTTACATGAACGCTTAGGCAATAACGATCGCTGTTTATAATACTTGGTTCTTATAATGCTTGGAGCTTGGTTCTTCCTTAACCATCACCGTTTCTGTTTTGGATATAACTGGGTGTCTATTTAGCTCACAGAATCATTTAGTTTAAAGGGGCCATAACCACAGACAAGTACGTCACTAGCTCTTGCGAGTTCTCTAGTATTTTCAATTACCATTCTACTTCTTATTAAAATTGAAAAACTGCAACAACCTTTTATACAGAAAAATTATTCACTTAAGTTGAGACGTAATACATTGAGCAGTCTGTTCAGCCTTAAACCGATAGAAATTGGGATGCTGTCTATCAATTCCGAACATCGTTGAAAGTTTCGACGACACCCCTGAACTGTATGGACTAGGACCACCACCTGAGGCTAAAAGGACTTGATCAAGATAAGAACATCTTACAAAAATTGAACCTCAATTGTTCAAACCCGACATGCATATACAATCTGCGTTAACCTCCCCTTGGAATCCTCTAATCCTCGTTCTTTGTTATTCATTTCTACCACTTGATGTACATCTTTCCCGGCCCACTAAACTGCTACTTCAAAGCCTCCATTCCGACTGTTTAAAGAAACCTTTCGAGGCAGGTTCATAAAAAAACCGAAGCATCCTCCTCGTACTTACCCTGACACGGTTTGCATGGGCTGTCCTCTGCTTTGAGAAGCTGAATCTCCAGGTTCTTAATGTTTTGACGCATCAGAGTCAACTCGACAGAATTGGTGTCAAGGCGAATAAGAGTTACGCTCGAAAGCAGCAACGCCACCACTGCCACAGTAAAGAGGAAACCTTGAAACGCATCGTTCATTTTGATCTTAGGTCGAGGAAGGTGGAGAGAATTTCAAATCGAACTAGCACGTCTCATTTGGTAATGAAATACTGAGAAAAAATAAACACTGCATGATATTGACAAGTTCATGGCCCTGAGGAAGACGGCAACTTCACAAGCTCTTTCAAACGAAACAAAACTCACAGCATGCCTCGAAATCGGCCGTCTTCGATGAGTTTTAAAAACCTTCACTTTCAAAATTTGACTTAGTACCTGACCATTCGATTGAATGAGTACAGTTATTTTTTTTCGCGGTGTTTGGAAGGCTTGGCATTTATCTTTGTTTATGATAAAGGCTTTTTCGGGACTTTCGGAAATAGCCTCAGTATCTGCTAAGGCCCATTTTCTTAGTTTTAATACAGTTTTATAAAAAACAGCCACCCTAGCCTTTTCCTTTAACTACTTAGAGTCGGGTAGGTTTTTATGTTTCAATTTTTGATTTGACCAAATTGGATTTATCTACATCAATGTACAATATTCATCTTTCTGTCTTCAAATGCATCAGTGTCTTTATTGTAAGGGTACATTTAACACAAATCGTATTTTATAAAGATTATCAGATACACTTTATTAAAAATTCATGTGTCCACCAACACTTTCTAGTATGTTGATATCCTGGTTACCTCTAATAAAAGCAAGAAAAGGTAGGTTTGGTGCTTAGTTTATATGATTAAGAACTGTTACACTCTAGTCGTCTTCGTTTTCTCTGAAGAATGTCATCACTTGGTTCACTAAGTCGTAAAACTAAGTTTCTATATCGAGAATGCGATGGGAGAAATCACTTCAACACCATAGTTGGAGCCAGTTACTCCTGTAGGCCATGTAATATTTCATGGCAAATATTCAGCTATTAAACATTGCACTAGGACGGTTTGGAATTTTGACCAGACCAGTGTTCTTCAGCAGTCATCAAGGACAGTTTTACAGTTACACCTTAGCGACCTAAATACTGCGCAATTTATTGAAAGACTCCAAAACATTTCAATTTCCCGAGTTTATGAAATCCAAACTCGCGGTTAAGTTTACCAGCGTCTCCGAATCTCAGCTGAGTTACAGGTAAGGTGGCTCTGTCCTCCAACAGCCCCTCGTCATGGCGAAGAACGTAATCATTAGCGTCACAGTTACAGGCTCCTCCCTTTGCGCATGTGTTGTTTACTCCGCACGCACACATTGCACTATTGGGTGGAGCTCCTCCCCAGTACTTCATCTTCTCTCCATCGCGTGACACCCACCAGCCTACAGGCATACCTCGGTTTAGTAGCAGTGAGTTCATACAGTCGTATCGGATAAACTGCTCACAGTGAGAAGAGATATTTATCACCGATACAATCTGAGCCAATCAAGATGTTGTGTAGTTGATATCTTTTTTGTAACAGCCTGGTGGATCACAAGTGGAAGTTTGAATTCTGCCTTCACTGTCGTGACGAAAGATTGTAATTCCGACGCCATTTTTATCCTCCATGTCGCACAGCGCTTGAAATGCAGGGACTGGACCCTCAACATCAGGGTCAATTCGGTACTCTGCGCTTTCTGTGTAACCAAGCCTTCTCCATTCAGTACAAGTGCGAACCAATACGTCCACTTCCACCTCAGTTTCAATAGAAGTAATGATATTTTTCGCAGTGCATGTATAAGAACCAGTGGCATCAAAAGATGCATTGGCGATGACCAAAGTTCCATTTTCATCTAAACGAGATCCAGAAGGTAAAACACCAGATGTTTTCGACCACGTGACAACAGGAATGAATTCTCCACTGTCTGCTACGCATGTCAAAACTACGTCATCGCCAACATGAATCTCCGTCTTTTTCCTTGGAACAATAACAAATCTCAAGCGAGGAACTACAGTCACTCTCAAAATAACGTCGACTTCGTTAAAGATATTTTGAGCCACACATCTGTAGAAGCCGCTGTCTTTAAGCTCAATTTTGCTAAATCCCACTTCTCCTTCATTCAAAAACGTTCTCCAGGCGGAGGGAGCACCGGAAGTTTTGTTCCACGTGATCTCCGGCTCAGGTCTTCCGAATACTGGACAGCGGAGTGTCAAGTCACTTTCCTCCTCTACGAACGTATGTGGCGAATGGTCTAAGATTCGAACGGGTACTACATATTACAAATATAAAAAAAATTAGTAAGCTAACAAACAAACTGGAACAAAAACAACTCCCCACAATTGAAATGTAATCAAGAAGGTCTGAAATCCATGGATTCGAGCTTGGTTCGTAATCCACTACAGGACCGGTCACTGTCTATTCGCATGGAGATCCCCGCCTTATTAGCAGTCAATTGATAGTCAATTCACCATAGTCTCCGCTTTACACTCTGTCAGTGATACCTGATCTCCCCTCCGTCCCCCCCTGAGAAGTCCCTCCTAAAATCCTTCCCCAGGCGATAGATAATGACTAGCTCCTAACCTAGGTTCGTTATAAAGCATTTTGAAGGTAAATAATGTTTGGTGCAATGTCCTTCAGTCTTGTTGACATCTGAAACTTTGCATCTAAGCCAATTGACGTAATACAGTCATTCACAAAAAAGAAAAATTAAAGGACTTTTGAAAAAAAAGGGATCATAAAGGCTGTTTATCAGGTAAAAAAGGGATCATAAAGGCTGTTTATCTGGTAAAAAAGGGATCATAAAGGCTGTTTATCTGGTAAAAAAGGGATCATAAAGGCTGTTTATCTGGTAATCGGAGGACTGACCTGTTTTGGATTGCTGTAGCTGAGTGTTTTGAAAACCCATTCTGCCGAAAAAAGTATGATTCATAATTACCGATCTACGTTCCATAGCTACATCTTACCTAACACAGTTAAGTTTGCCTTCGCTTCCACCTCACCAATGAAGTTGAACGCTTTGCAAACGTAGGTACCTTGATCATTGGGAACAGCATCCATTATCATCAAGGAGCCGTCAATCAAAATAAAACTCCGCTCGTTCTGCAGTTGGCCGTCCTCTCGACTCCAGGTCACAGCAGGCCTCGGCATTCCATCGGTCCTGCAGGGAATGGAGGCGGTGTCATTCTCTCTCACTGTTACAGGGTGTGGTTTTACAATGAATGCCGGGATAGAGGGTGTCAAAAGTCCACCAACACCATCCCCTGAGGAAAAAAATTCACAGGCGTGAGTTTGTCTGAAATTCACCCATGGTAAAATTCCATTCAAATACCGTCCTTGAAATTCCTCTAGTTTTATTGGATGAATGTAAAAAACGTTGAACAAATGAAAAAATAGTTTTCACTGTGGCTGCCTTGGCTTCCCCTCGACTCACCGGTATCCCCCTTTTCTCCTTGGGGGACTCGTTCTCCAGCTGGTCCATCATCACCTTTAGGTTCTGCGGATCCTTGAACACAAATACTTTCGTCACTTACACATGTCTTGTTCTCAAGAAGGGACCGCAGTTGATTTTCTGTAACCTTCTGCACTCAAGCCGTCAATTTCTGACTGCACTCCAAGTCGTGCTCATCGGTATTGTCGTTGTTTCTCTTGGTTCTACGAGCGTTTCTTTGATCCAGATCTGAAGAGTTTGAATAGTTCAGTTTTATGTTCTGTTATCGAATGTCGTAATAATTTATACTATCTCATTATTAAAAACAGATGAGCGCTAAATCAGGACAAGTTCATTTTCCCATACAGATGTTGACGACTACATAGGAGAAGTCGAGATTCCCTCTGCTGTGAATTCTGGTAACAGTTTTTCTTCAATAGAACGGTAAAAGAGGATTGCTTTACAATACAAGTTAGTCCCGGAAGTACTGAGAAAGACATTTTTTTTTGCCCCTTCAAGTCAAAAGGAAGCTGAACTCCGGCTCTGGTTGACGAGAGCACTGTGATAACTTTGGTTGAGCATGGCTTATGCCGTGTTGGAGAAGAACAACAATTCCTTTCGGAAATTTTATCGGGGACCTTGTTTGGAGGAGGATCCTTCTCTAGAAGAACAGGACAGAGCGCCTTCAAGTTGTCTGCCAAAATCTCGTGATGAGAACAAAAAGGGAGAAATTATCTGTTGATCTGTTTGTTGTTTAGGTTTTTTTGATGAAATTGTCTGTAGTGATGCCAATGTCCACCTCTCCGGATCTCCCCCTTTTGGTCTCTACCTAATTTATCAAAAACGACATGCACACCTGTTTTACTGCAGTGTACATAATCCTATTATGAGGCAGATAAAAACTTCCGAACTTATTTGATGCAATGCACTCAACTTTTGCGTTATCAAGTCGGTTGATGAAATGAAAATCTATGATTGAAAACAGATGTGACGAGAAACTCTAGGTCTAGATAAACGATAAAAAATTCAGGGGAGGGGAAAGTAAAGTTAAGTACAATAAGAAAGAGAGAGCTGAACGAACTGGATTTTGTATAAAAAGATGAATAAATACAAATGAAATTTAAGGAGACCGCGCCGTTTTGAAGCTGTTAAGTTTGAGCAGATCCATCTGCGAAGTGGTTATAATAGCAATACCTACGTGGTTTAGCTCCATGTTCCAATGTTTCTACCCGCTGCTGCAGTCGCTGATGCTCGTATGACAGCAGAAAACACAACAGAAGGCAAAACGCGAGAGCTGCGAATGATAAATATGTTCCTATTTTTGACATACTTATTTCTGTAGGGGTGTTTCGTGTGCTTGGGCCTGTTTTCGTGCACAAGCTGGATACTAAGTCACTGCTAGTAACAAGTTTAGTCTTTTACGATGCTTATTCACGTCAACACCAGGATTCTTCATCACTTTTGTGGCGTTCGTGATTTGGATGTGCACCAGCAACCAGATAACAGATTAGAAAGTAATAACAGCTGATCTGTCATGTACGCCCTTTGGTAACAAGCTTATCAAATTTGTCATAGGGGCCGGTTTCACAGGGTCAGAAAATACTAGAGATCGTTTTTCAGATACTACCAGACATCAGAGAGGCCGATAAACAAGAGACAATATCGATCATTTGTTTTCCTAATTAGTATACAATAAATCCTTATGGATGACCGATGTGCAATTTGCTCATAATGTTTCGAAAAGTTCGACATACTAGGGGAGTGTGATCACGAAAAGTAACTCTTACAGTAACAACCCTTTGCTCTAAATAAAGTCATTGAACTTAATAGTTTAATCGATTTTGAACTGAACCTCTGTCAATAATCCTCACCTCTTCTTGCCTTCTGGGATATCACGCAACCAGTGAAAACCTTGAAGAACAAAGCGTCGGTTGACAGTCGATAGCCACAAGCATTTTAAACACACAGAGGGATGAATGTGGTTAAAAGGGGTAGACATTATATTACCATTCATGAGCCACATAGTGATGCTCTGTCCAAAGGCGTCAATATTTTCAGAGGTATACGAAGGAAAGAAGATTGCATGGCATGGGGTTCAGACAGGAATAAGGGAAACTGTAATATAATTAAGAAGGATAGCTGTATGGGGCCACCGGAGGACTATCAAATTTTTTGAGAAACTCAGTTTCCTGTCTTTACTACTTGCTTTAATGATGTGACATCGAGGTGAAGGTAAATGAAAGAATAACTTTATCACCATGGCCATTGTACGTTGCGAGTAAAATTATGGTTTGTTGCTGTTTTCTTGTTTTATTAAAAATCTGAAGAAGTAAGTGATGGGAAATCAGGAGACATGTCTCTGCAAATACTCATTGAGTCCTTCGTTGAGCTTTGGTGTTTCCTACACAGTCAGCGGGGCTCGAATTTAATTTTTGGATGACTAACCCTTCGGGTTAGTAGACATCTTTTTTACTAACCAAATTACCAAGTTTGGTATTCAAGCTCACAAGTCACGATATCTCAAATATTAAAAATTTTGATAATAACGACTAGGAGAAATTAAAGAGTGGCTGAAATTGCATGGTGACCTTAAAAACGTTGACAATTAAGCACCTATTTTGTTTCCCCCTCGTTCACCATGATTAGTCAAGAACTGTACATCTACAGAACATTCTCTAAAAAGAGTTTAAGTTGACGAAACAACTTGAGTATTCAAGTATTCCTCTGAGAGGCGGGTCTACGTGCTCTTTATCCTGAGGTCTACCAATGTTTAAAAATGTTAGAAAATTTTACTAACCATGTTGGGTTAGTTAGGCACATTTTTAGTAACCAAAGGTTGAAAATTGCTAACCATTGGTTAATGGGTTACCCTTAATTTTGAGCCCTGAGTCAGCATCATTACTAACCAAATTCAAGTTTACACCAGAGGTATGTTACAAATGCAGGTAAAAAGATAGCAGTAACTAACTGCACACAGTGACTCTCTCGTGATTGTGTTATATAAACTAATCTTTTATTATTCTTCACTAGAATTGACACTGTTAGGATAAATATGTCCAGATAAATATCTTAAATAATGCTATGACATAAAAATTCATTACTAATCTTGCCCCTTGGTCACAACTACCTTGTACTAAGGCAGGATATTCACTTTAATGTCCCTTTGTAGTAGAGAGGACAGGTGTACGATATAAAAAAATCTAAATTGCAGCTTAGTGCAATCAATCTGTCAATTAGTCAATCTTACAATAATTCAAAATGTACAAAATGAAAAATTAGTCTAAAAATCCAAATTATTACATTCTAGGAAAGTACATGTGTCATTGTAATGTGGCACAAATGGTTAATAGAACAAAATTGAAACAACTCTTTGTTAAGGAGCTATTCCATCATCCTCAGTGATGTTTATGAAAACAGATTAAAGCCACATGCATTAGCAAGATCCAAATATCTTCTTTCCTGACTTATCATCACATGTCCACTTGCTGTGATCTTCACTTAAAGAGCAATTCAGTGGTAATGAGAAACCAGCTTTTTTACAGGCTCGCATGTGCTTCACATGAAAGGGGGATATCTGCATATTAGGCATCATTGCTTTCGCACAGTTTATTTTCAATACAACTGAACGTAATAATGCTTCTGTGCAGGGTTCTTCTTCATTTCCTTCATTAACCGGTTCACCTACTGAGGTCTGAAATTTATTGCCTCCTGAAAGCAACAAAATGTACAGAAAGAATTACCAGTGGCACTGAAAAATTACATTTGAGGGCTTAACTAAAGGAGGAAGAATAAAGCATTTGAAATGATTGCAGAGTGTTCATTGATTAAGCATCCAAGAATGGGGAATACTCTAGCCAAACTTTGATGGTACAAGCAATTTTTTCCAAACCTGTGGAATATTACTTTACACTATTTCTGTGTGACTAAATTTCTTTCAGAAAACTCTGCTACAGTCAGTGTATTACTTGACTGCTCACTCCCTAGACTAACTTTTAGGTAGGCATGTCTGTTCACATTCGTCCTTAGTCTTGAAGTTGTTTTTATTCTGTTGACATCCTCCATAAATGAATTTTGTGCAGTTGTTCCATGCTCTGTTGTAGTACCATCTTGGAATAATAGCCATACACCTGCCAGGTTTCTTTTTCTGGTTGCAGATATCTGTAGAGACGAATTCAAGTTAATAATTATTATTCTGGGGACAGTGCTTTGAGGTTTACAATGCTCTGTCTCTTTATCTAGATGACAATGGCATTCTCCATTAGCAAAGCAGAGCAACCACACAATACAGGGCCACTTTTGAAAGAAGATATATCTGCCAGCTCATTTTGGTCTGTTTAGTGGCCTGTTTGACTCACCATTAAATCTAAGGTCTATATATTTAGTAGTTCACTTTGCTCATAATTGGATGAATGAATTAGGAATAATGAATAAGCATGTTGAGTCTTAGGGCTATAATTATATTTGGTGGCTCATTTGCCTTGGCAATGGAAGAGCAAGTGAGCTAAATGAGCTTGTTCTCTTGGTGGATGGTTGAAAGTGGCCCTGTGCTCTGTAGTTTAGCCATCAAAGCCTCTTCTCCAAATCTGTGGTATATTTGCTGCAGCCTAATTTAATATTGAGTGTTTTTGATGCGGCGTTATTAAGGACTGCATTTATTCATTCCTTCCGTGGTGGTATTAATTTGCTGCTTCTAAGGCAACGATTCATGTAAATAGTTTATGAATAGATGTCAATCAGAAACATGACTGACCGTCCTCTTTTTGCTAGGATTGAATCCGAATTGACTGGCTTGTAAAATGAACAAGAAGGACGGTGAAGATTTCCAAGTTGTACGATACATATCTGTTCTCTTCCAATCGCAACCCAATCAGAAATATACATTTAATTCTACTCGATGGACGGCATAAAAAGACTGATAACGGTAGTTCTCAAAACATTGTAAAATGACCGCACTACATTCCCTGTTGGGTAGTTGTAACAGTCAGAAAAACTGCTGTAAAATTAATTAGTCAACATAGCATACGAATAAAGGTTAGGTACTTTGTAAACAAATACAACTTTATGAAGAAATCAGCGAACCGTTCAGTTTGTGCATGTAGCGTCCTTTGTCATGTACTACTTTTAGACATTTTATCCTTTGTTCGTCTCACTTTTTGTTAATCCTAGCAACGACATTTCAACCTATTTTTGACAACTTACTACATTCAGGAAATCTATACTTTACTCGAGAACTTCAGCACAGATGTTTTCGGAGACGCAGAAGGCGAATGGAAGAAGAAACCAACAGCTTACTGCTTCAAGCGCACTTTGATAACAAATGGTGAACTTTCGCATTTTAGACTACACCACATTTACAAAAGATCTGTAGCAAGCGGTAGCGTAGAAATATTTGACCATCAAACTGCTTTCCGTATCACATAAGCTGTACTGAAGCTCTCAATTATGACTTCCATAAAAGCACTCAATACCTGAGGAACTTTCATCGAAATCTTCACGGCTTTTCACGCCGAGGACCTGGCAGAAAAGACGTAGAGAAAATAACCACCACTTAGCAAAAACATGGAAAAATAACTCCGAAGAAAAAATATGTAGTTGAACTTACAAGAAGCGCAAGAAATAGGCAAAGCGAAACGATGTGATTGACCGCCATTTCGTCGTTGGTTTGTTTAGCCTTGAGACTCCTCTCTATAAATAGCAGCTTCGAAAAATCGTGACGTCACACTAGGCCGCTTTGAAACCGGAAATAGCACTGCGTTAATTTTAGGGTGTGTCCTTCACCCCATCGCCTTTTGGCACATGCGGAAATTTTATCCATGCCATTCTTATGGTTTAACCTCCATTTACGTAATAGTGAGCAGTTCTACGCAGCCATGATCGTTAGCTGGATTTCCACACACGTTCAAGAATGTTCACGTGGTGGTTGGAAAATCTTTGAACCCAGCATCTGTCATAGCACTGGTTTCTTGAAGAGGGCATACGATTAAGCAGTTTTACTCAGTGTAAGATATGATACTGCTTTCTAGAAGAATTTAGGAGAACTCTCTGAAGACAAACAGAGGGGCACCTTATCAAGGGTTTTCTCAAACATCACCAACTCTGATTTTTTTATATAAAAAATAGCCCATATATCCTTTTGTAAATATTATAAGCTTAAACAACTATTAAATTCAATAAATAGAAGGGGAAAGATGTTTTTCATGCTTGCAACAAGTACAGAACAAAGACAAAGCAATTGAGTTCTTCACAAAGAATCAAATCAGAATTGCACTGACCAACGCTCTATAATTAAAAGCAGGGTTTGTACACTTTTTCAGGTCAAAGATTCAAGGACTTTTCAAGGACTTTGCAGGACCCTACTTAGAAATTTCAAGGACTTTTTGTAATGACAATTTTACCTCAAAACCAAGAAAATGTTTCTGTTAAGAGCTATGTTTTGGGTTTACCCATGGCGCAAAACAAAAGCAGATACTTTTCGATGTTGTTCAACAAAAAATCAAGGACTTTCAAGGACCCAAAACGAAATTCAAGTACTTTCAAGGCCTTGAAATCAGCCTCCTGAAATTCAAGTGTTTTCAAGGGTTTTCAAGACGCGTACGAACCCTGTAAAAGATATAGATATCTAAATGGTGCGTGAGCTAAGGCACAATTTTATCTCTCTAGTAAATGGATAGAAGATAACTTGGTATACATAAAATTTGAAAAAATAACTAACAAGAGCACCAAAACACCGCACAAAATACTCCTTTCCAGAGACAAGTAGTTGATTTTATTTGGAGTAGTATAATACTTTCAACAAACCCATAGTACATGTTGCACTAGACCAACCTCACAATGAGACAGTTCCCCTTACTTCACAGCGATTTCATACAAAATTAGTCAAGAAACATATATCAAAATACTTTAATTACATTTGTCTACTGTCTCAATTCAAGTATTCTAAGCAAAAAAGGAAAAATTTTAAGATTAAACACTTCACAATTTGCTGCAGTAGCTTAAACAGGAGTCTACCAATCAATGCTAACACAATAAAAAGTTGAGAACAGTCAGCACTATAGAATCTAAGGTGATGAATTCACAACTGGCTGCTCCTGTGATTCTTCCTCCTAAGAGAGTCTCTTAGGAGGTTCAGTGTTGTCCACTGCAAAAAGGAAAAATTTTATTCACCATTAACATCATATACTGATGGTAACTACTCCACAATAATCCATTTTACAGTTGCATGCTTGGTTGCCAAGCCTTTGAATGGGAGTGAGGCTATGGGTGACCTTGTTATGATAGAGACATTGCTGCTTTGACTTTAATTGACTTTATTTATTTTTTTAAATTAAAGAAATAAAGGCTTTTGTAGCCCGGAGTTAGCAAGGCTATTCTAGGCGGGCTAGCTAAACAGACACTGTATAGGCTCTCACACATACACACACAAACACACACACACGTACACACACACACGCACACACACGCAACAATGAAATAAATAAGTAAATGAGCAAATAAAAATAAATAATAAATAATAGTAGTGATAATCATGTTAAAGATTTTAACTGGGCCAGTCACACAAGGGAGTTTTAACAGGTCAAAGAGAAAGCCAATCAGTTGAAATACAAATATAAGCTGGAAAGGTCAAGGTAGCGCAAGTCAACATTCATCTCCTCAATTTCTAGAATTTTCAAAAGCAAGTGAGTTAGCTCACGTTTAAAAGGTGCTTTCCTTAGCTTACGAATTTCAGGGGGGATGCCATTCCATATTTTCGCACCAACTCTAGAAAAGGAAAACAACTGATGATTTGTTCTCACCTGTTTTATATAAAAGCTTCCAGCTACTGAGTATAAAGAATTGGCTCACGTTCTCAAACTCCAACTCATTTAATTAGAACATTGTGAACTCACAAACAACTTTCAAGCGGCCATGGTGAGGAAAACCAGAGGGAGACAAAACAAGTTGGTGCTCATGTGTAAATACTGAAATCTGATTGGACAGTAAGACAATGCAATATCGTCACACTGAGAAACGAGTAGAGAAGGAATGAATCTGTTCAGAGTGAGTAAAAAGTTCAGAAATATTGGGAGGAGCACAGCGATTTTTGATGTCATGTAACAGAGAGGCAACCAATTTGAAGTTAAGCATTTTTATCGGTAGAATTCCCCAACTACTAAAAAGAGGAGCACTGTGAGATGTGTAATTGGAAAAGTACAAATGTAAATTACTTAGTTATCATGCTAAATAGCTGCTGGTCTCTATCAAAACAAGGTCACCTTCAGCCCCACTCCAAATCAAAGGCTTGGCAACCAAGCGCAGAACTGTAAAAATAATGGCCTATTTAGTGTAAGTAATGTCAGCGGATGTCCAGGGGTGTATGTTATTCTCCTCCCGGCATTTTGATAAAATAAAATAAAACCTTGAATAATGGGATCCCGTAGGTAATTAGAATCCCATATCCACCTAAAACAAACTGGTTATGGGCCTGAAAAGTCTTTCCCCACTGAAATAATTATGCTTTTGGGCATAAATGACTGCAATGTAATCTGATAGGAATGCAAACTTTCTTTCATAACTTTTTTACATGCTTCCTACACGCTTTCATCTTAAAAGCCTTTCATGGCCTTTGACCCAGATAAATTTTTTTGAAAAACTGATTTTAAAAAATTTAGTAAACTGTAATTAAAAGCAATATACAGTGCTCTCGTTAAGTCAAAACTTGATAAACTTCCAAAACATCACCATATAAATGTTCTATAACATTATGGAGATGATTGATCAGCTCATTTTCTTGTTAGTGCTCAGTGACTGTGTGGAAAGAGAAAATAGGAAACCTTCAACTACACAAACTATCCACATTTTTCAGAATACCTACCGCAATCTAACAAGCCTTCAATTTTGCTTCCATGTCGATCCACACACCAGCATTCCTTTGTTCCCTGCCTGTCTGTAACTCTGCACTGACGAGGCAAATAAAAGCCATCTTCTTCACAAGAGGGAGTGTAAGCACCAGGCATAACGCGTGTTTCACCTCTGATGAGAAGAGCTGGTAGGTTACTGCGCAACCTGTGCAAGCATGGTGGTTCTGAAAAACAAAATACACAAGATAAGCATTTTATATCATACACGTAAGCACAATCGAGCCCCTTCAGGATTAATTTCCAACCAGTTCCCACATGTTCCCTGCAACTGAGGATGGCTGGGCTACTTTGCCGATTTGATAATTTTTAAGTGCTTTTTAAAAAACAAGCAGCAGTGTTTTATCTGGTTTAAAAACATGAGGCGTAGCCAAGTGTTTTTAGACCTGATAAAATGTGTGCTAAGTATTTTAAATAGCTTCAAAGACCCATGCCTCTCTAGGGATTATTCTAAACATGATTTGAATGCATTAAAAGTTAATTACATGCAGAGGGGAAAAGTGCTCCTTGTTCGGCTGCTGTTAAAGTTCAGAAAGCTTTTCCTTGAAATGCCGCACAAATTCATGTTTCGAGAACCAAAAAATGTGAAGGAAGAGAAAGATTACTTGGATAGTTGTGTTCCAAGGGCTACTCGGTATGCCACAAAGTGGGCTTACAAAATTTTTGGCGAGTGGCAAAGTTCAAGAAGAAATAAAGACGCACTCTTGGAGGAAATAGCATTTAGAGTTGAAGCTCAGAGTATTCAAAACTGCACAATTAATTTTGTGAACAACGGGAAATTGTAAAAGAACAAATTTCTGTTCTAGCAAGAATTTATCAGGAAAATAAACTTTGTTGTTTACTGTGGGTAATGTTTTTGTATGCTGCCTTTTGGGGAATAATTTGGTATTATAATTAAAGTGATATTTATATAAAGATCTCTACTGATCTTGATATAAAGATCACAGTAATCATATTTTCATTCATAATTCAGGGATGATTTCGTTGTTTATGAATAATTGTACCCCAATTTCCCCCGAGACAGAAATCAAAATCCTCTCTGGGCTTTTCTGAATGATCATTCTATAAAAAGGTTCATACATGTGATCAATTTGCCTTGTGTGATAGGTTAGTCAGCTCATGAATTATTAATGTCTTTTTGAAAAACATTTAATGCATCTAACAATAAATGCAGTTAAGAATGGCCATTCTAAAGTTATACAGTAATTAACTTTCTTCCAATGCTTTTACTTAAAATAGTTTGTATTTCAAATTTTTTTGTTTTTAACAGTTATTCACCTTAGATTAGTCATTGCTCCTGAGCTACTATTAATAACCATCACCTAATAATTAACCTATTGACGTCCAGTGCGCCCATATGCGCCCATGGGGACCCACACCCTTTCTACGCCTTGTGACATCATCACTTTTAACCCTGGAGCACGAATTTGAGCACGTACTTGAACAGGTTGAAAATATCTTACAGACGATACCAGAATGAGAGCAATTGAGTGAAGGAGATTGGTGAAATAGCCAAAAAACCATGTCACTTTGACCTGAAAATCTGCACGAAAATCGTCTTTCATTACCCACCTACCTTTCCAAGCATGTGCTTTGAAAATAATGAGTAGTTTCTGAAAAATCTCTACACCAAAATGAAGCCTACTCAATTTCCAGCAAGTGAGGAGAAACTTCAGGCAAGGAGAGGGGAAAAAAAGGGCAGGAGAAAGAGAGAAAAGTAAAAGTCGTAAGTGGGGCATGACTTTTCAACCCAAAAATGTTGAAATTTTGCTCTCTGCACGTGCCCGAGATTTTCAGGCTGCCATTTTGCATTTGGATTGAAAGGCCGTCAAGTGCACGAGCTGTCAAGGGGTTTTTGGTAAGTTTGAGCTTTTAAAACCACAACAGTGACCCGAAATCTGCTCGACTAGCTTCAAAACACAGTTTTCCACAAAAGCTACGGCCATTAATGGGTTAATCCAGATAAGTATTTTAAAAACATAGCATTACACTCAAAATAATCTCCATTTGGTGTGAAAATATGCCTAATGATATTTCTAGTGTCTGTACTTCTATGGACCCAGCCTTTTATCTATTAAAAATCCAGAGAAAATCTCCAATTACCAACTGCTGTGAAACAACTGCAGAACTCAGCTTCAGTAAAGGTCTCCCTCTCCTTGGCACAATTCTTGAAGAACTTTTTTATGCAAGGCTCTGTTGCGATGTCATAAATGACTGCCAGTTCAGACTCATCTAACACACCGTCATGGTTTTTATCCAACACAAGACGGAACACAGAACTGATAGGCTCTCGGCATGCATTTTGATCAAATCCTGTAAAAAATATTGAAAAAGAAACAAACATACAATTGTAAAATAAGAAATGGTTAATTTGCATTTTCCATGGAAAAATAGGGGTTGACATTTCCAAAAATTTGGAGGTTAAGTACCTGTAAAGAAACAAAGACAGCAGCTACAAGCATTTGAAAAAGACTGCAATTTAAGGGCAGAAGCAATTGAATAAAAAAAATTGTCTTTGTGAGCACAAAGATTTCTTACCAAGCATGCAACTTCTCTGGTCAACTTACCCACTAGGAAAAACAGCATTAATCATAAAAACAAAGAAGAGAAAATCACAGTGAAATTATGAAATGTTTTGATTCAGTTCTTAATTTGATTGCACACCTGATGGAAAAGGCATCTTTGCTTCTCTCAGCTTCAAGTGTGGAATTACCTCTCCAGGCTTTTGTGCTTCAAAATTACCACGCTTCTTCTGCTCCTCCCTTACATGCATTGCACGCAAGACATGGAACCAATCCAACAGACGGTCTGGCAAAGCTGTGCAGTTTTCCACATCAGCTGAAGAACATGTATGAAAAGACAGTTATCATCCTGAGAAACTGGGTAATTAAGTGTTCCTTGTGAAGATAGACATATCAGTTTGAAAGCAACAATATAAAATGTGATATAACAGTATATTACCAAAAGTTTTATTTTCTTTCTTTTTTCTCTAATATTTAAAATAAATTGCACTTATTTAAACCTCATGGTCTCTTCAACTTTTCTGTCTGCTTTGTATTTATTGTTAATAATGTTTTTGAGCTCTGTACAGAGGTAGTTTAGGCTGGACGGTGTCCACATCTACCTCCTTCTAAAAAGGAAATGGGAGCCCCACCTATGTCTTGCCTGCTGTCCTCTCTCATTCTGACAACACTATTTTGTCCCACTCTGAGAAAATTGGATTTCAAACTTTTTAAATCCTTTTTTTCAAAGTCATATCAATTTCATGATGACCTAATGTACATTTCAAATATAAATTCTTGCATTTTCTCTTTAAGCTAGTCAATATCAGATTGTAAAAAACTTACGGGTTGTTGGCAAGCGTTCTTGTAGAACAGCCTTCTTGATCTGATTCCAATGAGCCCACTTTTTCAGTTCTTGAAACCTGTCCTGTTGTTTGTGGTTTACAAATAAATATGAAAATACTATTAATGGTTGCTTTAACCCATATTTCCCCATAGATCGAATGTATAGACAACTAGCCACATGGTAAATTTCATTGTCTCTTACTAGGAAATACTTGCAAATTTCCAGGTTTCAAACCCAACCTCCACCTATATTGAAACCCTGTCTTGCAACAGATAGAGCCTGGGTTACCTGTGGTCGCACAATTTGTAACATTGTCCATGCACAGGAAAATAATCGACCTTTACCTCCATCGTAAACAAAGACACACTGTTTGAAACAAACAATTCTAAAAACATCCCCAAATGACTTATCGAACTTAACAGCAATATGAAAACAGTTTTGGCCAAGTAGGACTTTAATAAGTCGGGAAGGCAAAGTTATTCCACCAATGGAAGCCCTGGAATTCGGAGTAAAAGGATCACCTCCACGAGAAAAACAACTGAAATAAAATCACATCTCGACACTGGACAGCAGACGAAAAAAGTCGCTGATTGTAAAATTGATTTGTTTCCTTTCAAAAACATCTTTCCTGTATCGTTCGATTTTAAATGACCTGCATGCGGAAAACTAAAATCTATTTCAGTCGGAGAAAATTTCGGGTCGGTTGTAGGTAGGGGCATTGCAGACATTCACTTTTACGACCGATGTCAAAACTGCCACGTTGAGGACAATTTCAATCGATTCTCATAAGGTACCGATGGCTTCCTTCTGGAATGGTGCGACGTGAGTTAACCATCCACTGTGTTAAAAAATGCAACTGAGATAGCTTTTCGAGAAGCAAGCGTTACAGAGGCAACGATGAATGCATGCATAATAAAGTGCTTACTGAAGGAGATAATAACTGAGTCCTTCGCGAGCACAAACAATGCACGACATATATAGAATCTCACCTTTTCCGCCTCTACCACGAAGAAGACAAAGCTCACGAGAGCTAGAGTCCACAACAACTTCATGTTCGTAATGAAAAAAACTTTCTATGTCGAGAGCCAGATACAGAAAAGCCGCAAATTCTCTAGAAATCTAGAAGAAACTCTCAGCGAAATCTCTTCAGCACTGTCTGCAACTTGTCTATTCTGCCAATGCCCGAAATTTGACACTATCAAATGTTCCAAGTCCAGTGGCTTGATTGGTTCGCAATTGAGAGGATTTTTTCCCACCCAGTCGGCACCGGAACTTTGGATTGTCTCCTCATTTCTGCGGTATAAGGTGTGGAATATGCGTTCATAGAATTTTTCACAAATGCCAAACTTTGATCAGATCGAGCTTCCTTATTACAGAAAATGAATAAGCAACGAAAGAGGACAAGTCGAACGGTTTTCACGATGAAATTAACTAGAAGAAATTATTAAAACTGCTCCTTCTTGAGAATTCCAACTTACGTCTTTGAAAAATGAGTAAATAAATAAGAAAATAGATGAATAAATAATACGGGGAAAAAAAAATAAAAAAAATAAAAAAATAAAAAAAAAAGAAAGAAAGAAGAAAAGAAAAGAAATTCCCCACCCTATCCACGGTTAGACAAACGTGCTCCATCCGTCCCCGCGAAGTATAACCCAGCGGTTTCCATCAGAAAGAAACATGGCGTCTTTCAGTGACAGTGGTGTCTACGGTAATTTACCATTTCCGATGTAAGTTATTTCTTGTTTTAGGGATTCATTGGCTAAATCTTCCTTGCCATGTGCCGAAACTGTGCTTTACCTGAATGGGGGGAACCTATTAAAGTTCCCGTTGCGGAACTTCCACAGTTTTTCGCCAAGCAAATCAGCTGGAACTTTGAGCGGCTAAACTACGGTGGAGGAGCTATTATGGAAACTGTTTCTGGCCGGCCAGAGCGTCCTTCAGTAACAGGACGGCTTGGCTGTAGATTGAGGGAAGGAATACAGCCTCCGACGAGAGGAAAACGTACCGAGAGATACCTTCTTGTGAGCGAGTGTTTGTACTGTCCCGGTAAAAGATACGGATGCACTCCAAGGGTCAACTGTACGGGCAAGCGTCGGAATTGCTATGCGATGTGCAAAGTTACAGTGTACGCCGATTTGCCTGATGTTGCTGAAGTTTCTTTCTCGGGTAGCCACGGAAGTGGGAATGTCACAGATCCTTCATTACACAGATCTCCGCATGACCCTAAAAGAAGACGGCTGGCCGAAGACGATTCCAATGATCAAACGCAGGTAAGGTCGCAAGAAGATTTAAACCAAGGTAGGAAAGAATGATGCAACTGTATGCATTGGTCATTTAAAACCTGCACCCCTTCCCCTCACTGATGGGCTCTTGTTTCAAATGGTTGGTGCCTTCAGGATCATTCTCAAACTTCATACACACACAAAATTAATATAACACAGGAAATAATTCCTTTGAGGTGATTGGCTCAAATGAGAAAGTTGAAAAGGAACATTGTCCTGAGGAAAGGATGCACTTGTTGGATGTGGAGTTGTAACATTCAGAAAAAAAAAAAATTGGAAATCTATGATGTGCTATATTTAAGTACGCACAGCAACCAGGTGGACAATCAGACATGGTTTGATGCGACTCTGGTTTAAAGATTTACATACATACGCATACACAATCTTTATTTAAACATGATCATTTTTAAAGCTACAAAGCTTGTGGGGTCGTGTGTTTAAGAATTAAGCTAACATATATTTAATTTTAAATGTTGCATGGACACAATGATCAATAATATATAAAATTATGTTGTCTGCATCTTATAGCAAATGCAGATGTAGATTTGAACTTAAAGTCTTTAAAATAATCTTCAGAACTGACCCTTTTCCTGAGCTGATTAAAATTGAGGGTCGCCGATGCTTATTATTGTAGTTAACAAAGTTCCATAACGAAGCTCCTCTATATGAGAGAGAGTCTTTCATTATATCTTACATTTAATGAGTGTAACCAAAATTACAATTTATAGACCCAATGTTTTGACACTCCTGTTTAGTGCCTTCATCAGGGGTGATCTGATTGTTGCAACAAGAGGCCCTTTTTATATGCTGACGAAGTAGCTTCCCTTTTTTTCGGATGAGGTGTAAATAGGTGTCAGGCAGTAAGCTGCGGTCATCGTGATTTAAAGCAGCATGGGAGGAGTTGATATGTGAAGCCTCCAAACAAATGCGCTGGTACAGTAGTAGCGGCAATTAGTAGTGATAATTTTAGAATTATCCGACCCAATTGTATGGTTAGTTATAGGCATGTGTGCTCCAACAGAGCTGAATTTTCTTTTTCGCAAATGAAAAAAGCTTTCTGGTGCTCTTTCAAAGGTATACCAAACTGATGTTTGGTCTGTCTGATATACTCGTGATCACAGTCATTGAATGGAATAGAATAAATCATGTGCTATTTTCCTACTACTTTGAGTCTCATTTTATCCTCTATCTTTTTGTGCATTAGAAATGGAAAGAAAGTGATCGACCTACAATGGTAGAGTCACTGAGTTCTGATGGACTCAACCTTGACCGTTCCAGTACAGATGTTGCAACTATTGATGTTGGGCAAAACGTGTTGATGACAGGAAGTAGTATGGAGTTGGTAAGCCCCCATAACAATTTAGGTTCGCCAGAAATTTTGCCTTGGACCTCAGCTGCAGAACATCCTGGTAGTTATCAAACTAGTGCCAGTTGGACAAACAGTAATGGTTCCTCAAGTAATGGACCAAGCACACCCAGTACACCACTAAATACACCATTATCTGTAACAGGATTAACTATTCAATCTCCCACACATGCTAACTCCAGAGGGGCTTTACCCAAGGTACCTGGATTAAATTCACAACCAATGAGAGTCTGTTCAGTACCAAAGAGCAGCATAGGACAGCCCCAGTCTTCCTCGTGGAGAACAGAGGCAAAGTTTTCAACATCTAAGATGCGTGTAAATCAAGTAAGTAAAACTGAATTGGAGGAACAAAAATATTTTCATTGAATTTTAATTAGTGATAATTTGCTACGGCTATTGATGTATCTTGTGAGATCAGATAGAGGATGAGGTCTTATTCAACTGGAACTTTTCTGTTCACAGCAACACCATGACACGAATCAAGAAATCCTCACACTAAGGCAACACATTCACATACTTCAGCAAGAGCATTTAAGCAAAATCTCTCGCATAGCTGAACTGGAAGCTGAGCTTCAAAGCCTGAAGGTTAAAAGATTTGTATTTACATCTTTATTTTGGTATTTTTCTGATGTTTGAATGTATGGTAAACAGTATTTAGAGTAATTTGTTGTGAATGTTTGTGTCAGTGTAGTCTAAATTTATTTGTTATCAGTCAAACTGAAATCTGAAATGGTTTTCCCCTAGGAAAGTGAGCTTTCTAGACTGGAGGTCCAATTGCAAAGACTGGAGAAGGAAAACCTGAAAAAAGATGTTAGGATTCTCCAGCTTGAGAAACAGTTACAAGCAGCTGTATTCTCCAGAGTGCAAGTGAGTAGATTCTTGTTCATGGTGATGATGTACATAAATACTATATTGTTGCCAGTGAACAATGGTTAACTTGGTTTGTGTGCCAACTTTCAAAGGGGGAAAAATCCCTTAAATTGTGTAATGGTATTGGAAGATGTTGTGGCTGGGTGGTTAGTATATGCAGTGTTTATGGTGTTGTTTTCTTGGAAAAGACACTTGATGCTTTGAACTCAAAGAGTTACTAGCATCTTATTTCTCCTTACAATGTTGGAGATTAAGCATACTAAGGGTGTAAAAAAAATACCCCTCACATAATCTCTCTGCATCCTGGAGTATTTATGGATACCAACAAACTGTTTATTAGAAAACTCTTCCTATTATGGAGGAGTAGCAAATATCCTTTTCTTGCTCTGCTACAGAAACTGGGATAAATTCCTTTAAATTGCACCTCTGCTGTAAACTGCTGTAAGTATGATTTTGAGGGATGACTGATTTTGAAGTATCTTCTTCCCTTTCCCTTGTTCATAGATACCATCAAACCCAGTGGCAGTCACTGCACAGCATCAGTCAGTTTCAGATGGTGTCCCTTCACATGTGCATAGAAGTAAATCCAATGATGCTGGGACATCACATGTGGACACAGAGAAAGAAGATGATGAAGTGGAGGAAAACAAAGACCAGGACGAGAAAGAAATGGACAAGGAAGATGACAATGGAGATGATGATTTACATAGTGTAGAATTATAGACTTATCTTAATTAGTGTAAATTGACAGAATTTTATAGAGCCATTCGTTCATCATACGTTTCTTTTAAGTTACCCAAATGTAAAAAAACAGGTATCATGAGTAAGTACTTTAGATTATGAACAGTTCCTCACAGTTTTGCATGAATGCTGTGTATGTTACATGTAGATGGAGCCACCATGATCTTAGATTGTATGACAAGTCGTATGAGGGGGGGGGGGGCAGGACAAACAACGGCAGGTGTGGGAGCCCAGGGGAAGAAATGGACGTTGTATTTTTATATGCTATGAAGATGTTTCATACATTGAATAGAGAAATTTATGACATTCATTTTAAACAGCAACTTTGTAGGATAATTGTTTAGTTGTTAGCTTATATTTATGTAATGGTTATTTTGCATAGCAGGCAGGACATTCCTGTGAACAAATAGCTGACAGGGTGCTACATTTAACTATAACACTTATACTGAAGGTACTTGAAATCTGAGAGCATTTTAAATTCACACTTAAAAGCTACATGAGTTGTAGTACTGTGTTAAATTGTGGAATAATTGAATTAAGTTGGAGATTTTGATCAAGAATGGCACTCAAGCAATTTTGCCTGAAATTGCGAATTGTGAAGGGACAGATGAAAAGTAAGTACTCACATATGTGGCAGTGAGTGTTGTACAGAATTGTATTATCCATCTCTGAGGAGCCATAACAAAACAAACTAGCTTCCTATTTTGCTTTGTTTTTCTCAGAGAAAACTTTCTTAATCTTTGCATTTTAACATTGATATGCAATGCCTTCTTTTAAAAAAAAAAATGGGGAACATATCAACAACGTGAACAATTAATCTCTACTGTTTGGTGCATTGTGTAAGATGAAAAAAAAAAAGGAATTTTTTTATTTGCAAGTCATATTTTATGTTGCATAACTTGTACTAATTCAAAACAACTTTTCATCTCAATATTGGCAAAAAAGTTGGATATTAACCCCAGCTATTTGCAACTTGACAAATATCAACCACTATATTTTACCTTATTGAATAATGGTTACTCGTTGCAAGTCAAGTTAACTTTCTAATAATTATAACAAACTGAACTGACCTCTACCATAAAAGAAATAAAAATAAGAAAAAATGTTACTGTGTAAAGTAAATATGTAGATACTAATACTATTAGTTTTTACAAAGCATTTATAAGTAAGCCTTTGCTTCTAGAACTATGGCACCGTAAATGTTAATTTTTCAGCCACAACGGTTACTGTTAATTAAAGGCTACACTGGGTGTACTTTAGCTTTAGGCAGTCAGAGAGTTGCAAAAAGTTTATTCTCTGATTTAAAATTTAGTTTTAACCTATTTATTATTAATCATTTTATTTTGTATTTGTGACACTATTTTTACATAGTTTACATGTATGCATGCAAAGATTTACATAAAAGCCTTTGTTATATTGTACACCGAAAAAATGTGTTGCATTTTTAACTTTTACCTGATCAGGCTCCATGGTGAAGAATTCCTATTAATTTGTTTTTATTTTCCATAAGGTGTACTTATTATTTTAACAAGTAGCTGATGTTGTGTGACTTGTTAAAGACAACCTCCAAGTACACATCTTTAAAAAGTCAAGAACAGAAGTTATTTTTAAGCAGGAACATCCTCCATTCACAATCCTGAACCAACAGTGGACATACTGTCATAAGTGGGTATTTCAATGTAGTAGCATAAAGCAAACTCTTACATTAGCATGCATGCTAAAATGATGTTAAACAACAAAAGATTGTGATTTCACCAAAATTTCCAAAAATAACCTGTAAAATCCATAATTTGAAACAAATTTAGTTTACTGAGTATTACAGTCATGTTCAACAGAGTGGAATTATTTCACCACAAGGATGAACATATGCCATTTTTGGAAATACCAACCTTTGGAAACCACTTGTTCACTTCATATTTTATTGATAATTATTGTAAGGAGACACAAGGTACTGTCTTTGTCCACCAAAACTAAAATTTTTAAAAACAGACCAAAAGTTTAAATATATAGGAGCCCACTGACAAAGGAAACTGAATATTAATCATTGGTTTTGATAGAAACTCTTTTATTCTTTGGAAATGAGTTACTATCCTCATTTAAATGTATCTGGGGGATTTTGGAAGCTGTATAAGAGACCTACAAGATTTCATCCAGGAGATTCCTGCTAAACTAGGGGGTTACCATGCATCAAGATTCTGACTAATTTTCCATTGTAATTAATCTTGTGTCTGATTTCAAATTTTACTTTTGAGTTTAATTAAAAGCATCATTAGCAAGTCAACCTAAAATAAAGCAAACTCGCATAGTGTAATGAGCTAATGCTTATCACATCACATTAATCTTAAACCTTCAAGAGTGTAACCAGTGCCGCTTGCAATTTCTTCTCAATCCTTCACTCCAAGCTTCAAGAGCTATGATTTCAATTAACAACCCTGCATTTTACTATTTGGTGATGCTGAGAGTTGAATTGTTAAATTTGAACCTTCAAGTTGGTAAATATTACGTCCTTGATCATTTTCCCAAGAGTCATCACCAGTTATCTCAACAGTGTATATTAAATTACTGTGCTTTTCAGTAGTGTTCAGTAATGTGTGAACTCTGATCAGCCAAATTTTGTTTCTTGCTGCAGTCAATCATTTTGATCATTTTAGGCGTCAAAGGGCAGGACATGAATTTAAATTCTTTGATCACAACCCACAGACATGACCTTTTGGAAACTATAAAACAATGCCTATGTTTCCTGAAAGGTATGCAACATGTTTGACAGCTGAGTGAATCACATTTCAGAGAAGTATCTTAACTCCATAGTTTACGTGTTACTGTGAGGGACAGCAGTGAGGAATTTCTACACAGAACACTCCCCCTAGTGCTAGGAGCATCAGCTCACAAGCTTTGCAAAGTGTTAAAAGTACCAGTTGGATTTAACAAGTTGGTTCAATTTTTGTGATTCTCTCACACTTTGATCATACTCATCCCACCAAAGATCTCTCTGTCCATCACTATCATGGTTAGATGAATGAGGAAAATTGTATTTTTCTGGTTTTGGGCAGCCATAATGTTCTTGAGAGGCAACAAACTTATTTTCCACTAACCCTTTAGCTTTGCGTTTTAAATTTTCATGAATTCTATTACAAACAAAACACTCAAATCCTGTAACATAGTTCACTTCCTCATAGGATGTCCCCCATGGCCGGTTTTCCATGATGGATAAAAGTCTCTTGTTAGTAACTCCTTTATCTTTAAATTCTAAATACTTGGCGTATTCTTTATCATCTCTGTCCAGCTTTTTAATGAAATCAGCCAGATCCTTAGGACTTTTGAAATCATCCACATGTATAATAGAATGATTATTTGGCATCCAATCCTGGACACTTGGTGACCCTTTATAAATTGGCACAGACCCTAAGACAAGAGGTCTCCAGAGTTTTTCAGTTATATAGTCTTCACAAATTGCATTCTCAAAGGCCAATGTAAACTTGTACCTTGCAATAATATCATGGAAACCATCATCATCCATGGTTAAGGGACTCTTAAATGCTTCAGGAAGATCTTTATTGTGCAAGCAGGCCCCATAGGAATCAATTTTTATAAATTTCATCAATTGTGCTATATATTCATCTCTGTCAGAAGGTGGATTACATCCACTCTGAACATACACAACTGATGCAAGATCACTAGTGCTCTTTTCATGGATGTCAAACTTTGGCTTTTTCAATAATTCAGGAATAGATGACAGCATTTGAGTAATTAACGGGTAATCTGATGATCTACGAAATGTAGCAGTGTGGTTGAAAAGTTCAATGGTAGTATGATGATGTAGAAGAGGATTGTTTTTTGGAGATTCTTCATGGAACAAGCCCCATTCATGGTGTCCTGAAAATCAAACAAATATATCCTACATAATTATTTTGTACTGAATTACTGGTTATTCTTGGAAGCCAGTACTCTTATTTTTTTTCAGTTTTTGTCAAGGAAGGGCACAATAAAAATTGTTGTTATTGCTGTTAGTCCATAATAATTTTATTATCTTCATTCTTTTTACCAGACATTGCATTGTCTGGTTCATCTGATTCATCTGGTTCAAAGAGTAAACACAATTTAACCACTGATTGCCTCAAAGGGTAAAGGCATGTAAAGGGCTTCAACTGATCCCTTACAAGTGAACAGGAATAACTCCTCTGTGCATATAACAAGCACATTAGAACATTAGTGCAATTCATGTACTGCATTTCCTTGAATAAGTGCCAAGCCGCTTGAAATATTTAAAATTTTTGTTATTGGAAGGAGGGCACTTAATTGGAGGAAGGGGAAATGATGGCAACTGATTCATTTGTAGTTAAAGCTTGAAAAGTTCTTGAAAAATGGCAATAGAAACAGGTTTACCTTCAATCCCTAATATTAGGGACCTTAAGCAAACCACGACGGCAACAGCAACGAGGATGTGGAAAATTAAAAGATCTAATAGGCAGAACAATAGCTCAGCATGTGCATTTCAAAACTTAGTATATTTCTTAGTTGTCCTTTGCAAAACAACAACGTGAAATCACCAAACTTTGCATCGTCTATGAACTGAAACCGTGATGGCAAATTATTTTAATTTACATTTAGAACTCGATCAATGCTACATTTATACGTTATGTTGAGGTTGAGTTGTGGCACCGTATGAGATGGTAAATACATGCAGCCTTTTTCGAAATTCTGATTAAAAGTAGAAATTCATTTTTTAACTGACGCCTTCCATGGCGTTGCCGTCCTGACTGCTTAAGGTCTCTATTTAAGAAATTGAGGGAGGAGGTGAGGGGTTCTTCAAAGGGGGCCCTTGAGTGAAATCATAGCCAAGAGGGTGGGCACTTATTTGGGGGAAGAGTGCTTACTAGGGTGTGGGTGCTTATCCAAGGAAACATAGTTACTGTATAATTATGACTGACTTCTCAAAAATACCGGTAAGGCAAATATTACTCAGTTGTAAGAAAGGTCTTACCAAGCCTTGGCAAAGGAAGGTCTGCTAGAGTGAAATATGTACCATAGAACAGAAAAGCCTGAGTCCTTGGATGTGTCTTAAATTTGCGTGCCTCTGTAAAATAGCAATCTCCAAGTTTACATCTCTTGATATCATTTCCATGTGTAAAAGAAGTCCACCAGATAATAATAGGAAATTTGTACTTGGCTGCATATGCTGCTGGCTTGTGCAGGTTTTTCAAGATGTGATCAACTCTATCATAGTAAACTTCTTCTGAAAGACATTGCAAGTCAAATAAACAAGAAAATTGTATTGGATTACAAAATAGTAAGGTTTAAAAACTAGTTTCTGTTACAGTCAGGCTTTCCTGGTACTGAACTAGCCCAGTTAATTAATGCACCTGAAAGGCATGCATTCTGGACTTTCTATGTAGCAAATTAATTTGGCAGGCTCAGTTTCCAGCAACTCCCCTCAGTACCAATTCCTTTGACAAAAGTTTGATCTGTTAATACAGAAATGAGGCTGGTATGGTGACAGGATCTCCCTAACTAGGGGAAAGAGGTTGGGGAGGTGGGGGGGGGGGGATTTACCTAGTAATAAACTATGATTTCAGCTTAATAATCAGAGAGGGCATTTGTTCATTTTGGTAACTGAGCTGAAATTCCTTTATTGAAAGTCAATCGGCTCTTATCTCAAGTTTATAACCATGGCTAAATTTTTTTCCAATTGGATGAAAGAAAAATTGGCAAGAGTACCATATAAGCCCATACATTAATTATGCATTCAGACTAGCAGACTTTGTTTTTAAAGTTTTGTCGTGAAAGACAAAGAAGTGGAATACATAATTAATATATGGGGTTATATGGTACTCTTTCCGAAAAATTTAATCCCACTACAAAAAGGCCGGCCCAGAGGGCAAGCAGTTTTGAAGAGGCATTTACACCTTAACATCAGCATAGCATTGTAAAGAATAAGAAAGATGGTAGGTTTTGAGCTCGGTAAAAAAAACATAGAAAGATGTTTTCGTCTAGTCACGAGCGTGGGACAAAGAAAATATTCTGAGTCCCGCGTGTACGGGTACAGTGAGCCCACCTTCGGAATATCGATCATTCCAATTTTCATCGACCTCTAGAAAATTGAAAATTTTCTCTTCCGTTTCCTCGATTCCAACAGAGTCTGCACTCCATTGGTTCACATCTCCCTTTTCATCGAAAGGGGTTTCATCATCACCATCGAAGCTCAATAAAATATTAGTGGATAGCAGAAGGACCGTTAGCACCGCACACAAAACAGCAATTTTTTGGAGGGAAGTACAGGATCTCCTCACCGCCATTCGCCAGACAGGAAGTGATGCAGTGCGAAGTGGACGGCGGGAAAATCAATGAAAACAATTAGACTTATTTTGATTGGTCATTTAAATAAAAATGGTAGTAAATTGGACCAATCACATATCTTGATATAATGATTTTCGACTATATTGTACCACGTTTATGAGTTCGTGAATTCGGCACATAATCGACTCGCGTTCGAGGCCTACGCTAAAACATAACGCGAGTCAGCAATTTACCCGTTGAAAATGCCTCCTAAATTGAAATTTGGCGAAGGTGAACGTATTCTGTGCTACCATGGTCCTCTGATCTACGAAGCAAAGTGTATGAAAGGGCAGATGAAGGATAAAGTGACAAGATATCTCATTCACTACAACGGTTGGAACAAAAATTGGGACGAGTGGGTACCGGAAAATCGGGTGCTTAAATTTAACGAGGCTAATCTTCAGAAACAGAGAGAGCTCAGAGAACAAAACTCGTGAGTATTTTGCAGCCTCTGAAGAAATTTAGTTGGAAAATCTGGGATAAATCGGGTGAAGAAACTGTTAAACTGTTCAAAGTTCGTGGAACAGGCTTGGGTTCTGCTAACCACGTGCGCTGTTATTAATGCAAGAAACCTTTCACTTTTTTTTTTCATAAATGTCCGGCTTGATCGATACTCATACGTGGCTGTTGTTGATAGAGCCTCTCTTAAGTCTAAAGTGAAATTCAACTATGATTAATTTGCGGGATAGAGTTTTCAGTTTTTATTTTTTATTTTTAGCAAATTACTAATCATGCACATACAACCTTAAGATTGAGCTGGCTTGAGTTGATATTTGCAAGCAGCAAACATAGCCCAAAGACAGAAATAGCACAAGCTGGAAAATATCGCGTCCATGACTTTGGCTATTGCAGGATAGATTATACTTTCAGTAGGTTTCGTCAGTTTTATCAACAAACTGATTTGAAAGCTGTGCTGTCCTGGAAAACTGAGATAGTGCTTGGCCAGAACGGTGCACAACAGTACGTTTTACTAACTTAAAGCCTTATTCAAAGTGATATGAGTCTAATCCTGGTAGTATTATTTTGATTATTCCAAATCTCTTTAAGGGTTTTTTGTCAGTTGCCATTCAGGTACTAAAGGAAGGTACATGTAATGCAATAGTGGAAGTTTATTGCATAACATGTGATTGTGAACTTTAGGTGAGGTATTCTTTGCAAAAGTGGGGCATGAATTAAATGGAATTGGCAAAGAATCAGGAGATTGTGTTTCTTGCAGGTGCAATTTTTTGGTTTATTGCATGGTATAAATCCCACCTTTTCTTACCAATCTAACATATCAGTACTATAGTTATTGTTGAATACAATACACCAAACAAAGGCTTTGCTGACAATATCAGATGCAAAACCTTGAAGAGTCAGGGAAGGCACTATGAATTCTTGCTAAATATATTTTTGTTTTTCATGTCACTTATAATGATGAACATTTTATCCATATGATATTGTCTTTGGAAATATCTGAAGAGAACCTTACACCAGCTTCAAATTTTAAATACGTAGATCAAAATACTGTTTAGGCGCTCTACAGTAGCTTGTGAATATTTTGTATTCCTGAGAGTGTTGTTAGTGAATTTTGGGAAGAGGAGTGTAGAACAACCTTAAAACCAAAATGTTAAATGTGATAAGATTTGATATTTATTGTTTGTCTGTTTTTGCTGTTATTGTGGTAGAAATTTGTATCAAGAACTGTGAATTTTACTGAAGCTAATTGGCAGGGCTTTGAGAAAAGCCTTTAGCAACTTATTTCTCATTGATTGCATGTAGAATTTGAAGTGTCTTTCCTGTTTACATGTACAATCATCGTTGTAATAGCTTTGTTTCTAACTTGCCTTGTGAGGTGGTGAAAGTAGCCGTAGCTAATGTGTTCTTGTATTGAAACAACAATCCTTTTAGGGATTTTGATATTGGTTAGGATTTCTCAACAGAGCATTTATTTTGGCTGTCTTGAAAAGTCTAATTGTAACTCCCTGAGGTATATGACTTAACACAAGGAAAATGTTGAGATAAACTGACAAACAGATGGCTGGTAAACCTGTATGGACTATCGATTTTTATTTTATAACTTATTTCAAAAGCTGTGGCGGATTCTTTTTTTTTTTTTTTTTTTTTTTTTTTTTTTTTTTTTTTTTTCTATTAATATAATTTCAATTTCCAGAATGTTCTCCTTAAAAAAATTGTGTTCAGGCTGAGAAACAGTTGATCACACAAATATCTAGCATTAAATGAGAGGGAAGTTTATCACTGGTCTTTCTGTTCAGTTTGAATTAAATTGTTTTTTTGGGAAAAGTCGGGAGCAGCTTTGCCAAGCGGCTAAAAAGTAAAGACAGTTGCTCTTGAGAGAGGCTTATTTGTGAAATTTTAGACAGCAGTTGGCTGTGAAAGAATTAGAAAAATATGGTACAAATTTGTGAAGTACTTCACCTTATAATCAAACAAGTATTATTTTCATTCAACCCACAGCACACACTCGCAGTAACTGTACTGCTTATTTCAGACCCCAGATAATTTTTTGAACATTTTATTGTTGAAGTACAGGTTTCATTTGTTCCGTATGACTATAGAACCCTGGCTTGAAAAGTTGCGAGAGGTTTATACTAAGATTATGTTATGTATTGTAAGGCATTAGGGTGCTGCTCTGTTATTTTGTGTACAAATAATTTCGTCTAGAGGTCCATATCAGGAGCACTTCAGGCTGTGACAACTCTGGTTGCTTTGGCAAGTTGTAGATATATTAGTGATGAAATTTTCACTGATAACCTGTGATCTGTATCCAGTGGTTGTGCAGAAAGCTGTAAAATTTGTTGTCAGTTATTGTTAAGGGTCCTTTGTAAAATTGAGATAAAATTTTGCATGAAATGCAGTATAAAAATTTTTCTCAGAGGACATGTTAACAAATCGTGCAAGCTGATTCTGCCCACAGGCATGGTGATGCATTTGGAAGTCACTAAGTACATCCCCAGCTTTGTTGCCATTTTTATAAATATGTTTTGTTTTGCCGGCTGGGCAGTATTTATTTTTTTTTTTTAGCAAAGACCTTGGTTATGACCTGAAGCTGATAAATAACTCGTTAATCCCTTCTTCTTTCTCTCTTTTAAATCGCTTAAGTTGCCTGCTAAAAATTGGTTTTGAAATGAATTTTGTGGTACTAAATGTGTTATTAAATTGGTAAACATGCAGCCCAAAAACTGTTTAATGAATTTTAATCCTTGACTTAAAAAGTTAAAGGTGAGGTATTTGTTTACAATTGAATAGTAATCATTGGAGCTTTTAGTTAAGACTGACCTAGAAAACTCTTTTTCTTGTCAGAAAAAGCAAGAAATCAAGAAAGAGAACAGACAAACAAGGAGGGGACAGTGAGAAACCTTTCAAACGCGAGTCAGTTGTGGATGCCCCCGGGCCAGCTCGGAAAAAGAGATCAAGGATAGCTAATCCAATAGAAAGTGATGAAAACTACATATCACGTGTGGATGTAAAAATAACTATTCCAGATGATCTCAAACAATGGCTTATAGATGACTGGGATCTTGTTACTCGGCAAAAACAGCTTGTGCCTATTCCAAGGAAAAAGAACATTAAAGAAATTTTGGATGAGTACATAAAATCACGAACTTCTAACCCTGATGGAAGGTTCAAGCCAGGAGTTGTTCAAGAGGTTGCAGATGGTATTCAGGAGTATTTCAATGTTATGCTTGGAACGCATTTGCTTTACAAATTTGAAAGGACTCAGTATGGTGATGTTCTTGCTGAACACACCAATCTTCCTATGTCTCATTTATATGGTGCAGAACACTTGCTTAGACTTTTTGTGAAATTGGGGAATGCCTTGTCTTTTTCCAACTTGGATGAGAAAAGTGTTCAATTTGTGGTTACACACATTCAAGACTTCTTAGACTATCTGTCAAAGAATGCAGATAGTTTGTTTACCACAGACTATGAGACTGCTACACCAGAGTATCATCGCAGGGCGGCAACATGAAGCATTTGAAGTAAAGAGTGATAACACAAATTTTCAAATAGCATGCCCTCTTCCACCTAAACTGTTACAGAATGTGGTAAATTAAACTTTTCAGAGGGAAACATTTCTCAAGATAAGAATATACTGCTTTGTTTTTATTAGAAAAGGAGGCTTTTGTTTGATTTCTGAATGATACAGACTGTGTGCTATTGTAGGTTACTTTGTTTACATTGGAAAGATTTATCTCCTTGCTAGTCTTTCAAACATGGTTCTGAGAATAATCTGTTTTCTGATCCCATAATTTGTATTAACTAAGTTGTGTATAAAACATGCTTTGCATGCTTTGTGCATTTAAACTTATTAAGATTGGTTTGTTTAAATTCCCACCCCCCTGAGGAAATATAAATTGTGTTCAAGTGCCCCACCCAATTTTTTTAGTAAAAGGCAACATTAAGCAACTGTGACAGTCTACTTATTTACCAAGCTTTAAAATTAGACCTTGTAGACCTTTTCTTCTCAGCCATTTACGTACAAAAGTGAACTTTTTTACCTTAAAATACCTTCATATTTTAGTATACATTAACTATTCCACTGGAAAGACTTGAGTCTTTCTGTTCAAACTCCCCACCCCAGCTTGGCAAGGGTTACATTCCCCACCTCCAGGGCATGGATTTCGGCCAAAACCTGAAGGCTTGGATGTTTTATGCATTGAACTGTTAGGTGCATTGATGCATTCATATTCAGTCTTGTTCTTTGTCATGTGTTTGATTTATCTGAAATATCGATCATCACATTTCTACCTTTGGGTAATCTAAAATTAACCCAAAACCATACAGAGGACTCGACAAGATGTTAAAATAAAAGAAAGAAAATTTTTATCCAATTACTATGAGGTGGTTGTGTGTTGAAATTTTGCTTTTACTTCTTTAAATTTCTTTTCTTTTTTTAATCGTGTACAACACTGACACCTTGATGTCACTGATGGATATGAGAATGGTTATGTTGTCATGGGAGTAGAACAACAGGGCAACTTTTCACACCCACAGAACCACCATGCCGGTTCACAAACAATTGGCTGGCTGGTCATGGTTAAAAAATCATCCCTTTGCCAAAGTTCTAGTGTAGTCCCCAATAGGTCATTTCAGAGTGTTAAAAATATGCACTTTCTAAAAGAGGACAGCTACATGACAAGTAGCCTTTGGCTGGTGGAATTGAAGTTGCTTTGTGGATTCATAGTTGTTTTTTACTTGCCTTTCTGGCTTCACTGCCTAGGGCTCGAAAGTGCTCAAAACTGTTAGCTACACAGGTTACAAAAGCTCTAATTAAGATGATAGTAATGCTGATGAAATGAAGAGTTGAGATTTTGATATTTGAATAAAAATTATGTGGCTGAAAGTGAGTCTCAGTTTCATATGAAAAGCTCCATGCACTCCCTTGTTCTAAAGCAGAGACTGATTAACTTGAGCAAATAAATAAAAGGGCAGCAGAGGAGGGGAAAGGGAGTTAGGTTATGTTACAGATAGAGCATCCAATTTTTTGAGGACCAATTTTGTAGATATTAAAATTTCAGTAAGAATTGGAGTGGTTTAAGTGTTATTTATGGTTTGTAATAAGCAAGATAACAGTTTTGTGGTTTTTCCTGTCAATTGACTTTCAATGCACAGTCAATCAGGGACTCTGCATTTTTTTTTTTTTATTCTGATTTTTGCATGTAACCAATGTGGTTCCTTGAAACTTGAAGCAAAAATTTCACCCGATTGAGGTTGCGGCCTCACTTTGAAATCAGTCGATTCCCAAAGAGACTGGGACGAAGTTGCGCCGGGACTGCGAACTGAGCATGTCACCCATGTGATTCTGTTAGAGCTCGGAATTTTCTTTCGAAAGACAGGAAAACTTAGCGTTTGCCTAATGGAATAACGTTTCGATTTTACCATTTGGAAGAGAGCAATGACAAACGACGCAGTGTTTTTTTAATTACAGGGAATTTCAAAGGTGAGGTTCTTTCGTTAACGTGGTTGTATGCAGCTTTCCTCAGTTGAGAGGCGCGTGGGTTAAATCGCGCCTTGTAGTCAGGGCAGGGTCTTTTAATAGTGTTCTGATTAAAATATTTACGGCTAAATTACTCATTGGCTTCAAATGTGAGCTTTATTTTCATAATTTGAAATATCAGTCTCGATTCCTTCTTATAAAGGTGTCCAATTTCCGTTTTGAGCCAACCCTTTTTCGTCAGAAAGGTGTCTGGTGATTGTGTCCTAACTCGATTCTGTCACATTGAAAATCCTAAATCAGCGGTTGTTGTGCGTGACTTCGCAGGTAATTGCGGCTCTTTATGATGGAAATTCATTTTGCTATACGAAATTAATGGTGATAACGCAAACCTCTATGAAATGTATGGATGTTTCTTTATGCCCAAAGTACTTTGCGATTCAAATGTCTCTGTGATTCAATCGCTTGGAAGCGTCCAGCCCACAGTAGCTCGATATTACTCGCTGCCCAATCCTAATCGGTAAATAGTTAATCCTTTATAATTTTCCAAATTTTCGTGACAATTTGCAACTCTCAATAAGTGAAATATGGCAGTAAGTGTCAAAGGTGGTGTTTATCAAGTTAATTAACCAGACAGTAACAGAACAGCATAAGAATAATTATATATCGATTTATGTTATCTGCCAGGTAGCTTTACATTGGACCCATTCAATTATCAGGTGGTATAATATAATATCAGCTGAGTATATGGTAGTCTCCTTCGCAGCTGTTTTTTGAGATGTCACGCAACGCTCCCCCAAAAGAACGGCTGCTGACAACCGATCTACATTCCTTTTTCCGAATTGGCCAATCACAGCTCGGGTTCCATTTTCAGGAACCTTTTTGCACCAGACTCACCTTTTGAGACTCGTCCAATCAGAAATCGTTTTCTATCATGATCCTCATGTGGAGAACACAAGACAAATGGCAGTGCTTGAAGGAGCTTTTCGCAAAGCGTTGTCAAAGTTCAAAATTTTCCAGCTTAAAGCTCACCAGAAGCTTGTAATTAAAAAAGTTTTAGTCGAGAAAGAAGATGTTTTTGTTAAGTTGCCTACAGGATCCAGGAAATTGTTAATATGTCAAGTACTCCCGCTCGTGTTTGACCATGTTACTGAAGAAAGTGGTCTTATTATTGTTATTGTTGTTGTGTTGTACCAATGTGTGGAAACACTCGATAATTCGGGCCGATTTCCTGTACCGGTGATAAGAAGCCACGAACATAACTAAGCAGGTTTGCTCCAGCTAGCAGCAGACTGGCAAATGAAGAAGTGCAAGTAGTGTAGGAGACGTTGGCCGACCTAAATTGCATTGTTCTTGAAGCTTCGCCTGGTTTGTTGATGGCAAGCACGCGCTTTTTTCCTCCTGATCTCCATCTGTAGGTCGAAGCAAGCATTTAGCCCTTGGCCTAGATTGAAAGGCGTCTTGTATTTCCTTTTGATTATTGATGTAATTTACCGTTTCTTATATATTCTGACTTTTATAATCTGTAGTAACCTTTTGAAATAGTGCGAATAAAGAGTTTCAGTTCAGTTTTTAGCTTCTTCCACTTTCTCAGTTGCTCGCTGAAACTTTAACAATGGCTCAAACAATCTAGCGTTCATGTTGTTGGCGTAGCAGTTGACGTCTGTTAAGCGTAGATTCTATAATTTCAACCAAATTGTGAGAAGTTTTCCCAAAAATATATACTCTTTCTTTACCAGGGCACAACGATGAACATGTGAAACATTTCGAGCTCTCATCGACAAATTTCTTCAGTGTTTCTCCCAACATCCACATTTTCGCGTGAAACCTTACGTCATTCAGATTTTCTGGTATGTGATTGGTCTGTTCAATAGACCGCGACCAAACCGCAAGGACAATGAGAAAGGAATGTAGTTCGGTTGTCAGCAGCCGCTCTTTTGGGGGAGTGTTGCGTTACATCCAAAAAAACGGCTGCGAGGGAGACTAAGTATATGGCTGATTAGGAGATCTGTGGGACAAGAAACTGTTTGAAAAGGGTTGCACCTGATCAAGGTCTCACAAGGGCTAAATATCTGAAACTGGACATTCTTTAATATCCTTTTGTACGAGTGTGACAACCTTGCTGGTCAAGCCAGCAAGGAGAATTTTTTCATATTTTGTGTGTAAAAATTCAATCTTTGTTACCAAGCTGAGATGCTTTTAAAAGCCTGAATAGGATACCTTCATGACAAAGGCCTGACCTTTTAAGTATCATAATTATTTTCTGGGTGGAGAACTGATCACTTGATCCTGGTCATTTACCAAAGTCTTGCTAACATTCTTTCGTATTTGAGCACATTGACAGGGCTTGACATTAACTTTTCAACTTACTAGCCAAGTAGCTAGTGACAACTTAGATGTTACAACATTTTCAGTTTGTTTTACTAGCCAAACTGGCTAGTGGAAATCGAAAACCACCTGCCAAAACTGAATTTCTAATAGAATGTCTGTGGCTAGTTGACTACCATTAGTGTCGAGCCCTGATTGAAATTTTTTGCATGAGATCAAGTGGTAAGGTGAAATCTTGGAAACAAGCCAGCCCTAGTGTCCAAATGGAAAAGAAGAGGCATGTACAGTAGACTTCATTTGCACTTATCTGTTTATTTTTGTAAACAGATACAAGTTTTTCAGCCATTGCCAGTCTGCAAAGTATTGAAAATTAGGAAACTTTTTTTTTTCTTATTGTAGTTCAGAAAGATGGTAACAGTACCATCCCCTCAGTGTGTGGGCCGGGAGTTTGTGCGCCAATATTATACCCTCCTCAATCAAGAGCCTGTACAGATTCACAGGTACAACATAGATCATACTCATAGTCATGTTATCACAGTTGTGTAATAGTGTAGATGGTCATTCTTTTTGGTGGAGGCATTTTTGTGCAGAAAGATGATTTTCCTGAGCTAAGCTTTCACAGCTTCAGAGTTTTATTTTGTGACTTTGCTTCCTTTATCTCCACCATTTCCCTCGAGATGGCCAGCCTTGTAGCTTTATAATAGAAAAATTGGTTAGTTTGGCTATAAAGCTATCATGTGATTTGGACTTGATGCACTTGTTAGTGAGTGAAAAGATACTGGATGTCACAAGTCTCTGTTGAGTTAATGTACACAGCTTTGTTTGGGATAAACATAGACTGAGCAGTTCCAGGAGAATTTCTAGTTTATTATCAGGAGTATCTACATTTGTCTATGATGAGTAGTCACAGAAGGTGCAATATGCTCCTGCATGTATTCAGTGAGAATGTATTAATAATTTTGTGTACTATATGATTGTTCTTTTTCCAGGTTTTACACGAAGCAATCCTGGTTTCTTCATGGGAGGGCTGAGAATGGACTAAATGAACCCCCTGTGGTTGGCCAAGAGGTATGTGTAATGTGTTGTGTTGGATTAAGTCGACTGTTAACTACCTATGGAGCTTGTTACAGTTTCATGATAAGCTGTAGGTTTGATTTTGTTAGCAGGAAGTAACTAAGAGTATTACATCTCCTGTTGAATGGGGTGGTAAGCATTTCTACTCTTGTATGGGTAAAGGCTTTTGTGAGCATATGGTTGACAAAAGAATGACCTGTTCAGAGCTAAAACCAAGACCTTTTGATTTAAAGTCAAACCTGATTGTCAATCCTCCACTTTAGCTGGTACACGTTTTCTCTTGAAATATTTACAGGGATGTCATATTAGATGAAGATAACTACTACTTGATAACTTTGAGTATTCTCATTACCTGTTTGCTTGATAATGTATGAAAATCATAAGGAGAAGTTACACGTCAATCACTTTTGGGAGTTAAAGAGTTAGACATTTACAAGATGGAAGACTTAGAAATAATTATATATTGAAATATTGTTTGCATGGTGTTACAAACTCCGAGAAATGAAATTTGTATGTCCAGTTTAACATCTAAGGGAACTAAAGTCTTTTGAATGGTACATTTGGACCACATCATTATTTTTGTATATTCTTCCAGGCAATCTACAATAAGATCAAAGAACTCAATTTTAATGACTGCCACACGAAGATAAGACAAGTTGACAGTCACTCCACTGTAGGGGGTGGGGTGGTGGTACAGGTAAAGTTGAATTCAAATTTGTACTGCAATTAAAATGTTGTGGAGATCTCCAACTCACAGAGGTTAAAGTTACTTATAATACATGCCTTTTTTTTCTTATGAAACTGCTGAATAGACTCTACAAGACTGTATTTGTAGACTTGTTAAAAGATATATTTTTTAGCGCTCAGGTTCCTTTTTTGGGGACATTTTTGTACTGTTATGAATTTGATTAATTCCTTTGAATGTTCAGATGAGCATTGCAAATTTCAAGCAGTAGAGTTTTGGAGAAGTGTTTCAAATCAACTTCAAACTTAAAGTGTCTATCAGTTGCAATTCACTGATTCTATAGAAAAATCCATAACTTGACAAGGGAATTCCACAGTAAATTGCATGTGAAAACTGAGGTGATGAGCATGATATCGGTTTTCAAGTGCAATTTAATAATTATGGAATTCAGGAGTCAAGTAATGAGTTTTCCTTGAATCACACAATTGAATGAAAATAAGAAAAAAAAAAAGAAAACAGCATATACAACTTATAGTTGTTTTGTATGCATAGATGTGAAACAATATCTCTTAGTCTCGTTTTCAACTTGCAATTCCATGCTAAATACCTCGCTTTGTTAACCAATCAGAATGTGAGATTTTATTTAATGATGCAATTCTACTTAAAATCATATGGAAAAGAAATGTAAATGCATTCCATGAAGTGAAATTGAGATATGAAATCTCAACTACAGTATTTACTGATGTATACGTCAAACTGATATATAAGTCAACCCACCATTTTCAAGGTAAAAAATCAGATTAATAGAAAAAATCCGAGCCCCAGATGGGACTTGAACCCACGACCCTCCGTGATCTAGTCGGATGCTCTAACCACTGAGCTACTGGAGACTCCATGGTGAGCAAGGGTCAATTTGTGGGCCTCAACTGGAACCGCATCGTGCGGCTACACTTGGCTGTGAAGCCGCGTG